AAGCATCCAACGTTCCTCCATGTCTGCTCTCGAGCAATGGCAATAAAACCAAGCCATAAAACCCACTTTAATTCGACTGTTCAACCACTGAACATCCACCAACGTTTATTGAAACGTTTCCCCAAATACCCTCCTCAAGAAAGCGCGCCGCGACTTCCGACTTTCGAAACACCTTTTCGAAATCCTCGTTCGAAACGAAACGTGTTCGTGGCGCGATTCCAAAACACGGGAAAACCCGGGCGAATCGAGAACCGGCGGCCGCCAATAATTACGTTATAACCGCGATTCGTGGTGAGGGCGGGGCGAGGGGGAGGAGAAGGGGGAGGAGAGAAGCCGTGTGTAATCGCGCGCGATTATGTTACACCGATGTCGGTCAACTCTTCCCTTTGACTATCGATCAGTGCATAATAACGCGGGAATAATGAAACACGTGGACGGGTGGAAACCGATTATTCCTCCCCTTCCGCGATCGGGCCAATGATTATTGACGAGGGGAAAATATTTACCTCGAATGATTCGTATTCGTGGATAATAAAACGGATAATAAAAATTATTTGCAATATGTGTAGAAATCTTTTTTCTTTTTTTTTTTTGGTATTAAATAATCAATGATAAGGAACAAGGATTGCAATGTGTTTCTCATTTTGAGAGAATTTTGGAAGATTTCTTCTCTTTGGAGTAGAACAATTGATATATAAAAATGTTGAAACTTATTTATTAAGTGTTTTTGCGTTTAGAATGAGAGAAGGATATTGCTTCTCTTCGTTACAAAAAAATAAAGAAAAATGAATTCGAGAGAGAGAGAGAGAGAGAGAAAAAGGATTAATATGGAGTTCGACAGAGACGTATTCGGTGTTTAAGTAAACGTAAGAATAACCAGAGATCTCGAACAATGGATAATCGAGGAGCTAGGGGAAGAAAAGGGAGGACAATTTTCAGGACAAAAGTCATCCGGCGATAGCGAAACTTCTTCCTGGCGAGGAGGCGAGCAATCATCTCACCAGGGAGGGAAAGAATGGAAAACTCTTTCCCATCATCCACGACAAAAACACCAGCTCGAATACGGGTTCAATTTCGTTATAGACTCTCGGTTTTTCCGCAAACAGAGGGGCATAACAGAATTTTATCATTCCGTGTGGATGATATTTTTCGGAAGACAAGAATTGCTTTTCCCTTTCTCCACGTTATAATTTTATTCTCAATAATCAGCAAAATATTTGTAACACACGTGTACGTGTGATTATAACATAATCTTTAATATTCCTTTCAACGTAACTCCTTTCCTTCCCTCCCCCGTGATAATGGAGTGTTTCAATTTTTGATGGAAAAAATTAAATTCCTAAGACGCAGTTTTAGACACAAGGGACCAGCGGCCATGTCCCACTTTTAATCGTATAAATAAAATCGAACAGATATTTCGTACGAATTGATCAATAGGCATGAAAGATGGAATGCTAGGTTACTTCGATTCACGTGTATTTGAATATTTTTCCATTTCACGATCGAATTTATCATGAAAAAGATAATCGATAATCTTTATAAATTCATAAATCGAAAAACGACGAACAATTATACGTGTTAAAAAATTAACTTGAATCGTTAAGAATCTCTATTCGATTTATATATAAAAGTATAAAAATTATAAACGTAATAAAATAACAACATCGAAAGATATAAATTGGCGGAAAGGAGCTCAAAGGCATCATTTACAATCCTCAGTCCTCAGCGTTGGAACTTAAATTCGCAGAAATAATACTTCATTAGCACTCTCTTTCGTGATAAACTTTCGAGAGTGAAAACAGAGAGGGGGGCCGGTTTCGCTTCATTTTCAGAAATTAACAATGCAAATGTCGCTTTTGATCGCTGAAAAAGGAAACAGATGGGAAAGAAAGATTGGATAACGTTTAAGGCTACTTTCCCCCGTGATAAAAAGCTGAATTGAAATTTCTTGGGATTGAATCAAGTTGGAAACGATGGATTACCTTGAACTCGAAGATACTTGGAGTAAAATCGATGACTTAACTTATTTTACATTGTATACTGCGAAAAGGGAACTTTGTTATAGTATTATCCAAGCAGATAATTACGTTTAAAATTGTGCAATCGGTTCGGCGTGAACTGTTCGAATATATTTGCATTAAATGAATGTGACAAAATTCGTTCGAGCTAAACGCTTGATTTATTAAATAAACCGATTAATTAATCTTATCAGTTTGACATTGTACCGTGCTATTCACAAATTTTGTTAATCCAATATCAATTTGATCAATTTTTTCGTATCTTTAATTTTCTTCTTTCAAAATTATAGCCAAAACAAAAATGTTTCGAAATTTCAATTTTTATTTTCAGGTAAAAATAATAAAACTTTTTCGTATCTTTAATTTTCTTCTTTCAAATTTATAGTCGCATTAAAAGAATCCCAAACTCCATAGTGATTTCGAAATCTCGATTTCCAGGTAAAAATAAAATTGTTTAATAAAAATGTAATAAATATTTCGTACTATAAAAGTTAGTGTATTTTGTAAAATTATCTTATTATTAAGATTCCTTTTCCTCCCTTCGTGACTTCCTTTCTCTACATTTAAAACGACGTATCAATAATCTTACAAAGTTTATCATCCGTTTCTCTTTCACCGGGTAAATGGAATATCAAAAATTAATGCAATACACATTTACTCCCAATAAAATTCTGTAAACTAAATCGAACTAAATTTTCTTTTCCCTTAAAATTTAATTTGCACGATGAAACAGAAACGAAACTAACGAAAAATTAACTGGAAGGATAATTCGAAGGAAATTTTCACACCTTTCGTTCCAGTATCGCCCCTTCAATTTTTCATCCAAATGTTCATGCAAATGCATACGCGCGCAAAAGAGAGGCGAAATAAAAAAAAGAGAGAAAAAGCACGAACGAGACACACTTCTCTCCTTCGTGAAGGAAAATCGCGTGAATTTTCAAGAATTTCCAAGAAAAATCCAAGGACTGGAAATAGTTTACACGGTGAACGAGTCTGCACGTGCTCCCCCTCCCTCTCTCACGCCGAACACTTGAATTCCCCTGCCGGGGAAAACAAGCGGTCTAAAGCGTGTTCGTGGCGCAAGTGCGTGCTAATGACGTCGTTAGTCATTCGACACGCTGACAATTGCTAGCCGAAGGAGGGAGGAGTCTGGAGGGAGTCTCACGGTCGAGCACCGTGTCTCTATCCGCAATTATCGCGACCTTTGCGATTCGAGGCGAGACGGGACGATTCGGATCGATCGTTTCTCTTCGAATTCAGGGGACGTGCTTTTGGGGGGGAAAAAGAAACGGCGGAAATGGAAAAGTTGCCGCCCGACTGGACACGCGACGTTTTTCAATAACACCGCCTTTTGACCATTGTGATTTAAATGGAGATTCTCGCGCGGGGAGAAAAAAAAGAATTTAAGAATCGACGACTTCTCGACTCTCCTTTGTTCTTCTTCTCTCTCCTCCGCATAAATTTTACGAAGTTGAAACAACAGTCTCGTAACTTCTATCCTCTAATATTCATTGCCATGCGAGAATTTGAATTCTATGTTTGTTAAACACGATTAAAAAAAAATTAATAATAAAATAAACAATTATACAATTCAATGATTATTAATTTGGCTATTTTTATAGATTGTCCTAGTAATAAGGATATCATGACGATATATTTATTTATTTAATATATTCTATAGGGTGTCCCAAAAATATGGAAACACTGGAAGAGATTCGAAAATAACTTTTTCGAAAAGTTTCACGATTTCAGACAAATTTATTCATCGTTTGTCAATCCTTCGAAGGTTTCCTGCGGACGTTTAACAAGGATTAATTAAACAGGTCAGTTAATTCCAACTCGAAGGATAACGAGCAAATATAATTTCGTGAGGGAAGTCGATTAGGCGTGGATAGTTACGCAGGACCTGTCCGTTTAATTGGGCTAAATTCGAAGGACGATTGCGAAAGGATCGTTTTGATTTTTCCCAAAGTTTTTTCCCTTCGTTGAAGGGGAATTATATTCATCAGGGATTTGAGAAGATCTAAGGTTCCAGTGTCTTTATCATTCGTCGCGAATATTAAATTTTATCGATTTTAATATCCAGAGTTAAAATAAGAATTAATCTTGTCAGATTGATAAATAGAGTGAAAATATTTGGTATTTATATTTTCTCGAAACGTTTCCTCACTTGTTATCCCTTTTCCTTTCCACAACTCGTGCAAGATTCCGTGCAAATTGAAAAAAAAAACTCCATCTTAAGTTGGAGAAAATCGAATTCCAAAATTCAATTATCCAATTACATAATCGAGAATTATTGTATCTTCGTTTTTCCTTTTTTCAAATTATCGATCATCAACGAATAACCTCGATATTATTCAAAATTTCCATTACCCACGACGGGCAAGTCGAATATATCTCGGATGAAAAATTCGAAAACTGTTCGAAATTAAATTTTACAACCCGTTCCGAAGGCCGGATTGGAAATCCATAATTCCAAACTAATCACCCTCCGCGATCGATCCTCCTCGAAAAATTAACCCCCTCCCCTTCGAATAAATCGCGGAGGCAGCGCGCGTGGAAATTGAAAAGAGGAATCCCAACTTCCTCCCCCCACGGGGAGAAGAGCAAATTTCGAACGATTTCCATTATAGAATAATTTATCCCTCCCCCTTCTACTCGGAGATGAAGTTGTCGGCCCTTGTGGCGGAACCGCGATGCGCCCAATCGTGCATCGAATCGTGAACGCGGCGTAGAATCGCGAGGGGATCGATTCCACCCCCTTCCGCCCCTCGCAGCTGGAATCGCTCGCACGCATCCCTCTCTCTCTCTCTCTCTCTCGCAAAATTAATATTCCTTCTCTCTCCAACGGTGCAACTTACACCGTTTTCGAGTGTAAACTAAATAAAACTCGACACATTCTTACCAACCAAAACCTTCGTTACGATAAAAATTTCACGATCAGAAATCGTGAGATTAAAATAGGCGGAGAGTAGTACTCACGTACGAATATGTTGCTCAACAGTGTGGCCGGTAGGCAGAACACGATGACCAGGACGTCGGCCACCGCGAGGTTCACGATGAAGAAGTTCGTGACGGTCCTCATCCGGGGGGACCTGTACACCACGGCGATCACGAAACTGTTCCCGATCAGACCGACCACGAATACTAGAACGTAAGCGACACAATAAACAGCCGACATCGCCATGCTGTGCCTGTACAATCTGTCCACAGGTATGACCGGCGCGTCAGCCGCGGTCAGGTTCGCCGTTTTGCTCGCGTTCAACAGGCCCCCCCCGTGCCCCGCCTCCATGGGCGGCCTGCCGGGGCTAGTGGCGAACGCCTCGGCGATCAGGTTGTTCAGATAATCGCCCGCCTCTTCCCTCATCTGGAGGAGGGTGGAGACGGTGGCCGGCGGGACGGCCGACCCCGTCGTGCCCGGCCCATTTCCGTTGTTGCTCCTTCGGCGGGGGTCCACGTCGAACTCCTCCGAGTCCGGCAAACGAAGCGATGCCATCTCCGCGGGGGGAGACGGTGGTTGAAGCATCGGGGAGGATATATCTCGTTCGTCTACCGTTGTACAAACGAACTCCGCGTCGTTTCGACCATCGGCGGCCGACGCACCCCCACCGCCCCCTTTCCCCTCCCCCCTTTCTTCGAGGAGCCTCGCCTCCTGGAGGTTACCGAATTAATTCGACGGAACGATAGCTGGTGGACAGTGGATTCACCGGATGGAAGTCATATCCCGTTTGGGGAGAGAGGAAGGGAGAGAGCGCGCGGGTTCGACGGGTTCGACGCTCTCCTCGAGAGAGAGAGAGCGTCAACTGGCACGTGCACGAGAGCCCATCGAGGCTGGCCGCATCCCCTCGTATCGAGCGCGGGAGAGCTCTCTTTGAGGCGAGGAACGATTTCGATCGAGGAAGGATGAGAGGGAGAGGGAGAGAGAGAGAGAGAGATTTGGAGGGGGTGCAGAGGCGAGCGTGTGTGGAGAGGGCGCGAAGAGGAAGTTGGAACTGGAGTTACGATCCACACTGTTAAAGGTGTCCCGCGGCCGAATGCTGGGCGACTAATGAGCTTGGTTTAGAAGACGACTGCCGACTGCCGCGAGATGCACCCGTAGCGGCGAGCTGTCTGCCGACTCTGCGCGACTGCGCAAGCGTACCCGTCCACATGCACCCGCATGCGAGCTACAGGAGGAAGATCGCGAGCGGCAGAGCGCAGCTCGAGGCCGGGAAATTGGAAGGATTTCGGGCGAAACTTGTTGTTGGACGAAGGTAAGGGGAATATTCGGAGGAATGGAGAAAGGTGTAAGGTGTAAGGAATTAGAATTTCTTCGATTGATTCGACTTGTTCAAACTTTGATCACGTGTCAAAGATGACAAGAAGAAAATTGGTCGTTGAACTTTTTCGAAATTTTGAACTTTTGTTTGTTATGTCCGAAGAACTTGAAAAACTGAATAAACTAACAAAGTAAATCTAAATAATAAATGCACAAGTATAAATTATCTGTACATTTCTGAAAAAAGAATCTATCTTTATATCTTTCCACCCATGATTTTACATCCTACTTTCGTTGTATTCCATTTTGAATTCTTGTTATTTCGATTATTATTGATGTCTGAAGAACTTGAGAAAATTGAACAAAGTAAAATCTAAATAATAAATGCACAAGTATAAATTATCTATATATTTTTGAAAAAAGAATCTTTATATCTTTCCACTCATGATTTTACATCGTACTTTCGTTGTATTCCATTTTGAATTGTTTGTTATTTCGATTATTATTGATGTCTGAAGAACCTGAGAAACTGAATAAATTGAACAAAGTAAATCTAAATAATAAATGCACAAGTACAAATTATCTGTACATTTCTGAAAAAGGAATCTTCCTTTATATCTTTCCATAATTTTACATCATTTCGTTGTATTCCATTTTGAATGTTTGTTATTTCGATTATTATTGATGTCTGAAGAACCTGAGAAACTGAATAAATTGAACAAAGTAAATCTAAATAATAAATGCACAAGTACAAATTATCTGTACATTTCTGAAAAAGGAATCTTCCTTTATATCTTTCCATAATTTTACATCATTTCGTTGTATTCCATTTTGAATGTTTGTTATTTCGATTATTATTGATGTCTGAAGAACCTGAGAAACTGAATAAATTGAACAAAGTAAATCTAAATAATAAATGCACAAGTACAAATTATCTGTACATTTCTGAAAAAGGAATCTTCCTTTATATCTTTCCACCCATGATTTTACATCGTACTTTCGTTATATTCACCCCTCGAACGCTGGGGACCCGGAAGAGAATCGCACGAGTATCGTGTTTCGAAAACTTTTAGAACGCGATAAAAGTTCAAAGTTCCCCAAAACTTCCTTCCACGCTTTCCATTCCGACTTTTATTCCCTTACCGTTTATTTAAATGAAAAACTACCCTTCCTTTCGCCGATGATGTTCCACGAGGATAACGAAAGATATGAACGAGAGGAAGGGTAAAGATTAGAAAAGGGGGAAACTTTATTTTCGAAACGATCGCCAAACGTTCTCCTCGTGAACGCCCACGATGAACTTGTGATTCCTCGAAGGAGGAAACTTTGCCCGAGTTTCTATCCGCATCGAGACACCTGCTTCACAGATTTCGATCGAATTAAGAATTTCGTTCTAATAATAGCCGTACCCAGAATACTTTTCTTGTGGCTCGAAGAAAATTAAACAATTCTTTTTCTTAAGAAAATTCTTCGATACTTCTTTTGTTGTCAAAGATTCGATTCAATTATTTTCATCGATTGTGGATATCGTAACTGTACTACGATCAACGAACTTTTATTCCAACTTTTAACGAAATTAAATTTCGCTTTAACGCGGGGGTCTCGAAATATTTCAATAAAGCGAGGGCAGGAAATATAATCGAAAATCCTGGGACGGATAGGAACGATCGCCTGTCCACCGTTATATTAAAATTCAGCCCAAGAATTTCAGAAACAAAATACTTTCCCGTGAAAAATCCGGAACATACCTACTCTTCGACATTCCATATTCCGGGAATAGAGGGTAGATTTTTAAGAACCCCGTTTTTGCACCCTTCGCATCCCACGTCCGAGAGATGAAAGAAGCGATCTCGCACGCCTCTCTCTCTTCCTGAAAAGTTTTGTAACCGAGTTTTCCACGACTCGTCGGTTTCATCCTTGGAGCCGCTTCGAAGCTTGGAAGAAAGATTTCGTTACAGTTTGGCTACCGGTGAAACGTAATATCTCGGTTTCCGTTCATTTTCCCGGCCAAACGCTCCATTCTTCCCAGCTTCTCCATCTTTTTCTCGAGTTATCCTTGATTTCCTTCTTGTCGTTGTTTTATTTAATTTGAAACCAAAACTTGAGATTCGATTTTAAAATTAATTCGAGATCCGAAACGGAGGATAAATTTTCGAAATAAATTCTTTTCCCTTCGAAAGTTTAAAATTTCGTCGCACAAATCTTGTAATATTTTTTCAACTTTCTCGACAAGATTTAATATCGTTAACACCTGTAAAACGAGAGATTAAATCTGGAGTGAGGGAAGTGTGGCTAATCGATCGAAACGGAAGAGAACGTCCCATCCGCGCTCGAGGATTCTTCTTTCTCTCGGCGGAGAGGATGGGCGAAAGGAGGGATGAGAAGAATTCTGGGAAGTCGAACTGGCGTTTCACGATTCCTGAAAAACATGGAATCGATCGGAAGACACGTGTACGACTGAAAGTAAAAGCCCGCAATGCGGGGAGACCACCGCTCTTTAAGCCAATTGTTTTTCTTCCACAGTGGATGTAATAGTTTGTTAATATTAAATATCCCATTTGTCGTTGTCTTCCAAAGATTTTTCTCATCGTGCACAGCGTAAGAAATCCGCCCCAAAAGCTGATTATTTAATGTATAATTATTATTTTTTTTAACCTTCAAAGAAGTATTTATTAAAAGAAAAGAAAATTATTCGAATTAAAAGTTGAAAATTTTTTCAAAGATTTTTCAAATTCGCGTTTTTTAAAATTTCCCCATAAAAGTCAGAGGGAATTACATTGGCACGTCCATTTGCCAGATGAATGAATAAAAATTTTCTCAAAGACGTGTCATAAACGTGTATATAACTCGTGTGTGTAAAAGTAAAATCTTAATTGGTTTAAATGAAAAGATGAATAAAGAGCTAGTAAATTAGAAAAAATGAATTTATTTATTTGCATCACTTTGGTAAAAAGTATATATTTACGTGTTGTAAAATTTCTAATGTTTCGTATTATTATTTTTTTTTTTTCGAAGAATCCATTGAATTGTCACGAATGTGAAACGTTTTAATCAACGTTTCTGGGAACTCGATGACATTTTCACAGTACTGTATCTTTATTCGTAATATTTGAACAACTGTTACCATATCTCATTGTCACTTATAAAATCAATCTCGAGTGGAAAGTTCCACTGTCTTTTCGAGTAAGACGTGTAACGTTCCTTGACTTGTTTGTTAATCGTTGTTATTTCAATTTTATATATCCATTATCATTATTTTCATGATCAGAATTGAAATTTCTTATAGATTTTAAAGAAAATAGGATATACTTGAACGTGTTCGATTTACTTTAAAGATAGAGGTACAATTTGTACAAGGGAAAAAAGAAATGAAAAAATATCGAAAAGTTATTTTATCCCTTGCTTGTAACGCTGTTTTCTTCCATCAAATCAAAGTTATATTTTGCTACCGCCTACACGAGACGCAAATATTTCTATTTCTTCCGATTACGTAAAAACTGACGAAATGAATATCTTGTTCATCACTTCTCGTCAGTCACTTTGCAAAACAGAATTTTAATTCTTTTTAAGCGACAATTTTTTTTTAATCTCGTATATATATATATATATATATATATATTTCTTTCAAATTTTTATTATATCCTCTCTATTATTCCCACAAAAAAAAATTCTCTTTTCACTAATTCAAAAAACTGACAGAAAAAAATTCTTTTTCCTGAATTTTGCGCTTTTTATAAAAATTATGTGCTTAAAAAAAAAAAAAAAAAACCTTAAAAATCTTTCTCATTTCCCTTTACAGATTAAAGAGAAATTTTCTTCCCTTCTTTCCTCTTTAAAAAAAAAAAAAAAAAAAAACATTCCTTTTCTATTAATTATCATATTTTACACTTTAAAATCTTTACTACCATCCCTCTCTGTTAAAAAAGAAATCTTTGTTCCCATTTTTTTTTTTTTTTTTACACGTCTCTTAATTCTTTAATAAAGCCTCGTATTACGACGATACCACCTTCTCAATCCAATACTTCTCTTTATATCCACTTATTCCAATCTTAATTCTTCATTCGACGATAATTCCACTTCTCCCTCCCTATAACGTTTACTTTTCCCCATTCTCTTTTCTTTCTTTTTTTTCTTTTTCCATTCCTCGGCTCAAATCTCTCCCAATCTTTCACTCGATCGATTTAAAAGCGACTAGAATATTCGCATCGCTCCCTCGTTCGGAAGTTTTCAGTTTAATTAACGGATATGAGATACCAAATTGTGGACATATTCTATCTGGTATGGAATTATCGACGAAGATGCGATTACTGGCAACTCAATTAGAATCTCGATTAGTTTCTCACACCCGCTATATTTCTCCCTCTCTCTCTCTCTCACACACACACACACACACACATACACACATCTGCTTCATCGTTCCCGACCTTGCATCCCTTCTTTCCCTACCGTGATCCACGTCGTTTAGCCTTTTTCCCCCCTAATCTCTTCCTTGAGTTGGGAATTTTAGGAAATCTGTGGAGCTATCTCGCCAGAGGAATTGATTTTAAATTGATCCTGATATATTGAAACGAAGGAGCGTGAAAGTTTGCCGGGAAATTGTTTTAAG